AGTGTAGCCCCTTCTTTTAATTCAGTGCCATTTTCAGTCTAAACACCACAAAGACAAAGATAAATAGATACACTCACTCTCAAAAGCGAGTCAGACAAGCAGAGTAATAACGAGTCCTCAACCCAATGATTCACCCAATTCACTCTTCAAGGGTGCGATAAAGAGGGAAAGACACAGACGGAGAGAGACAAAGGATGACCACACCTGGGTGTCCTTTTTGGTGACTCAGCCCCTTTTAGACGGTAAACTGACTCACTGCAAGCTCGACTATCATTGTCTCAGCCTGCTGTCCGTGCCAAGGCCTTCTACAAACAGCACAGACAAATAGAGGAGCTCTCTCTCTCTTTGGCTTTTGCTACATAAAAAATTATGTACGAGGAGACCACCGAAGTGCTCTCAAATGTCTGTGAAAATAATTAAAAGAGGGAAGGAAAGTAACAGATGGTTACTGCTTTACCTTTGAGATACGTTGTTAGCTCCACTCTATTTAAGTAATTTTATTTCAAAACTAATACTTTAGGCACCTCAACAAATTCGTATTATCTCTGTGTATTATCTCAAATAAATCCAGACCGAAGAATTATATTGAGACCTTTTTCCATGCTACTATTTTAAATGTGTTTTGTTGCTCAGACTATTTCAGTATGCTAACCAATAGAAACATAGTAATATGTGTAAATGTATGTAATGTAATGTATATTTAAAAATATCTATGCGTTTGTTTGAATTCTAAAATGCTGAACATGCAAATTTATTATGCTCATGAATTTTAGCTTGCTAGTCTTTTATTGTACCAATATTGTATTGAACCAATGTCCAATGTAAGACGATGTCAGAGGTACGTCTCGATCACATTCCCTAGAGGATGAAACCTACTCACTTTCAGATTTTTCTTCTAGCGCTAACATGAGGTCGACATATTTGGTTTTTAGTAAACTAATGGATGGATTACCATGGAATTTGGTACAGGTATCCATTGTGCCTAGAGGATTATTTTTATTGACTCTGGTGATCCCCTGACTTTTCCTGTAACAGCAGGTCAGAGTTAACATCTACTGCATGGATTGGCACAAAATGTTGCAGACATTTGCGTTTTTGTCTTAATTAATTGTGTAAAATCTGATTTAAGTTTTAAACCTCTGCAAATTTTGTCTCAAGAGTTCATACTAGTGCCTCAAGCACAGAGTGCAGACAGTACAGTACCTGATGACAGCAGGACAAAGGGGGAAATTCTTATCATTATTCTGTCCAGCCTCTGCAAAGTCATTTTACTTTACGTGCATGTTGGTATCATTTCTGTCCAGCGGGGGGCAGTAGAAGCCCCTACACACTATCTTATTCATGGGGTAGATAGTCTGCTACCCTGCAGTCATATTGAAAGTAATATTAATCAGGCTTATAGACCTGATTTTACTAATCTTGTTTATTTTTGGTTGAAAGGTGTTACCGTACCGTTCTGTTTAATTCAGTGGTAATGATGTTGACACACCAGTGTTCACTGGTTCTGTTGAATAATTCAAGCTGAATTCATACAGCACTAAAATTATCGTGGCAAAGGTTCAGCTTACACAAGAAGGTCCTCATTTTATTTGGTGAAGTTATTAGTTAGTCGATTTCTTCATGGTGCAGCAATAGGTCTTTCCAGTCCTGAAAGATGAAGATATTTTTTGTAATTTGGTTAAACTGACCCTTTAAAGGACCAGGTTTTAGTGGCATCTAGCAGTGTAGTTGCAGATTGCAACTCCCTTGTTTCACCCTCCCCTTTCAAGCGTGGTGGCCGAAACAAGATTGGCCCCATCTAGAGCCAGTGTCTGGTTTGTCCGGTCTGGGCTTCTGTAGATACATAGAAGGCGACCCCCTGTGTTTGTAGATATAAAGGACTCACTCTAAGGTAACAAAAACATAACAATTCCTACATTCGGTGATTATACACTATGAAAAAGCATGATCTATGAATAATTCCATTTCTGCCAATAGATCCGCCTAAATGTTACACACTGGACCTTTAATATGTTGGTTATAATCACATCTACCAACACAACTTTTAGTTCAAATCAGCACAATATGACACTTTCTTGGCAAATTAATTATTATTTTTTTTTAATGTTTTATTTCCTGAGCAATGCATTCGGGTAGTATATTTTTGTCTTTCTACAAGATTAGGGCTTTGGTGAGTCCAGCTGGGCAATAAAACCACTTTAACATGCAGCTATAAACTCCTAGCAGACCTAAATTGAAAGTTGACTCAGATGAGACATGCTGTTACAGTCTCGCCCCATTGGTCCCTGGGGCCTGTCAATCATGGAGCTGACGTAATACTGTCTGGCTCTGTGATCCACTGCGCACGCACGCACACACACACACACTAATATTCTACAATCTCAGTCAGCTTTTATAGTACTTTTGGGTTTATAAATATTTTAAAAGTCATATGTATATCTGGATATACGTGTCCACTGTTCTCAATGGGTTTCTGCCTGCATGTCAATTAACTTACTGTGTACTGTATTTAACTAAGATGAGAAATATTATAAGCATATTTTGGCAACATGTTTTGAGTAACAATATATGCTGTGTTTTTCATGTTTTGTGACAAGACTTGAAGGAATAGCCCTTAAAGTTCATCCCACCCCTATTTGGGTCTTTCATTAGTGACGGCTACAAAATAAGGGTGAATACAGCAACAAGACACCAGCGGGAGGCTTTCATTGAGCGGCTGCTGCCAAGAGTGTTGAATTTGAGCCACAGCCGCTGAAAGCTACCTCGTTGCTTTTTTAAATGTTGTCTAAATCTAGATTTAGTTTTAGCCAACAATCATACACACACTGCTGAAGCTGAAACAGCTGCTCCGCATTAAGACGGAAATAAAAGTAGATGTTCAGATTCAGTGTGAGCGAGTCGAGGCGACACATTGCTTCGGCAAACTTCGGCTGTTTAAATTAACGGTTTCAAGCTAATTGTGATTAATTTGTGCACATAAATGTCAAGGTTTTGTAGCGGCAGGAAGTGAAATTTATGATTGTTGTTAGTTTACTGATGAAGACCATGAGGTACTTTGGATTTTGCCTGTTGAACCAGGTTTTTGTGTTATGTATTGTTAAAACAGTGCCAGTTTGCATCATGCGATAATCCTTTACGGCCTATCACCGTTCCAGGGCTCGATCGTAACCTCTGTTTCTCAATGATTTCTTCAAGGATGGTGTTGGGTTTGGTTGAAAGCTCTGGAACAAGCAGCCGTAAACACACCAAAGTCCAACTTTACGTGCAGGTGATATGCCATGCCTTCCCATTAACTTCTGGGAGGTGACTAATAGAGAGCGACAGGGTCTGTGGAGGAGGGACGGGTCAGACGAACACAGGACTTTTGAAACCAAAAGTCAGCGTTGACGTTTCATAACATATTTAAACGTTCGTATAAGTTAACTGCGTAACAGATTTGTATAACATCATAAGCTTTTCTGAAATCTAACCAATCTGCGACCATTTTACGTAAACTACGTGTTTATTACTGTTACCATGACAACGAAAGTCGCTTTGGCGCATGAACTACTTTGAAAGTGTAAAGTTGTGTTATTGGTACGCAGATTGAAGATTGCTTGAGGAAGATGAGATGCAGTAAGATTTTTTTTTTTTTTTTAAATTTTAACATTTTGTTCAGTTAATTTGGGAACTGGTGAGCATGGATTTGTCATTTATACAGACAATTTATGGATTTGAGAGAACAAATTATCAATTTCTATGCCCAATTTCTTTCCATGACACCAGCTTGGCTGCATTAAAATAAAAGCAAATTTTAGGTTTTACGTCAAAGGTTCCCAACCTGGGGGTCAGGATCCCCAGTAGGGGTCGCCAAAGCTTCATGGGGGGGTCACCAGGCCTTCTTGATTTTAAGGGGTGTGAGAAAACTCAGCGTTATCTCAGCGTTTTGTTCATTTCTGTGTAGAAAACTAAATGAAATGTGTGTTTTTAATGTGTATTATTAAATATTAAGTGTCAGGAAGAATAGAAAAGTAAATATCAGGAAAACAAAAACTCTTACGCTTTAACAGGACATAAAAAAATAAGGTGTCAGCTTACTCAGAAAAAGGGTCCCTTAATGAAAACCACTGTTTTAGGTGATGCTTTTCTTTTATAAACAAATGCAAAAACTGTACACAATTTATATTTCTTTATATTTAATATTCCCTTATTTAAGACCTGTATATATTATT